CAAAGTAAATATTCAATCAAATCAATATATACAACAGTCTCAAGAAGGAAGTCTACAGTTCAAGTTTGTATCAAATAAATAGGTAATTTCTACCCTAAACATAATACACAGAATCCAAGTAAACAATTAAAGCAGGTAAGACAGTTAAGTCACGTAAGCATGCTTTCCTAAGCTAAATAGGAAGCTTCATATACTGGTATTGCTCAATTTAAAGGAAACCATAGATATTTGCTTAATGAAAATGGGGGTTTTCAACAATTAGCACAGGTACGCACTCGTCACCTTACGTACACGGCATTCATATAACAACAGTACCAAAATCCTAAGGAGATTTCCCCCACACAAGGTTAGGCAAGCCACTTACCACGAACCAAGCTAAAATCAATCCTAGGTAAGCCTAATCAATTTTGGGAAAAATGAATTAAGGTTACAAAACTAGCCAATTAACAGGTAAATATGATAAAAAGTTTAAAATGCCGCTCGGCATATACAATAATAACACTCTCGACTGAACATAGCACTCCCAAAACCCGAAATCTCATGAATCACAAACTAAAGAAAAATACAGAGTGTTCTCACTCCAGAAGTCTAAACAAAGTAAAATACAAGAAGTCTATAACTGAAGGGAGAATAGAGAGGGAATTCTAGGTCTGCGGACGTGGCATATATAACTCGTAGTCTTTGGATCACCTCGCCTCAAGGATAGTATGGCTGAGCAGAAGAACCTGGATCTGTACACGAAAAACATGTGCAGGAAAGGGCATGGGTACACCACAACGGTACCCAGTAAGTGCCAAGCCCAACCTCGGTCGAGTAGTGACGAGATTAGGTCAGGGCCCTATAGATTATATATATATATATAACAAGGTAAAATAGTATGAAAGGTTATAGTATAATTAAGATACTATCAGTCAATAAAGATGAAATCACAGAAAGAAATAACTCGGTACAAAGAGATAGCAGCAGGGGATCTCCCAGGATAACGTCCCGTATTCCTAAACGTAAATGTACAGAGGATCTTCCAGGATACCTTCCCGTAATTCAAATCATAAATGTGCAAGGGGATTTCCCGGAATACCATTCCGTAATTCCAAGTAAATATCGAGTACAGGGGGATCTCCCGGGATACCGTCTCGTAGTCCCAAATATAAATGTGTAGGGGAATATCGTTCCGTAGTCCCAAAGTAAATACTCAATCAAATCAATATATACAACAGTCTCAAGAAGGAAGTCTACAGTTCAAGTTTGTATCAAATAAATAGGTAATTTCTACCCTAAACATAATACACAGAATCTAAGTAAACAATTAAAGCAGGTAAGACAGTTAAGTCACGTAAGCATGCTTTCCTAAGCTAAATAGGAAGCTTCATATACGGGTATTGCTCCATTTAAAGGAAACCATAGATATTTGCTTAATGAAAATGGGGGTTTTCAACAATTAGCACATGTACGCACTCGTCACCTTACGTACACGGCATTCATATAACAACAATACCAAAATCCTAAGGAGATTTCCCCCACACAAGGTTAGGCAAGCCACTTACCACGAACCAAGCAAAAATCAATCTGATATCACGCCCTTGCCATGAGTATCCAACTCCGAGTGGCCCAAATCTAATCAAATCAATTACATAACGTAAATAAAACTACAAGCAACTAGTTTAGCTAATGAATTTAAAGCTAAGATGAAAAAATAGGAAAATGCCCAAAAATCCTCCCCGGGCCCACGTCTCGGAATCGGGTAAAAGTCACAAATTATGAACATCCATTCACCTATGAGTCTAACCATACCAAATTCACTCAAATCTGGTACCAAAATCTCGATCAAAATCCCAAAATTATGCCTAAGAACTTTTCTCAATTCTCCCAAATTTTTCATCCCAAATCCGAAATTAAATGATAAATTCATGTTTAGATTAATGGGATATAATAAAAAAAGAATTAGGAATCATTACCCACAAACTTCCTCCGAAAATCTCCAAATTTTGCCTTCAACCGAGCTCTCAATCAATTTTTAAAGTTATGAATTCAAACCCTCATTTTTGAACTTTAAATTCTGCCCAGATGAGTTTTTCTTCGCGAACATGAGACTACTATCGTGAACGCGATGAACAAAATTTCACTGGCACAAATTCCTCCTTCGCGAACGCGAGGGTCCTCTTGCTAACGCATAGCTTACACTGGCGGACCCTTCGCGAACGCGTAGGCTTAAGGTCCACACCTTCGCGAATGCGGGAGCATCACTGCGAACGCGAAGTACAACTTAGCTGCCTCTCCCAGATGCTCTACGCGAACGTGATGAAGGATTCTTCTGCAATAAAACACCAGAAAATCTGCCACTTCCGTAAGTCCAAAAATGACCCATTGAGCATCAGAAACACACCCGAGGTCCCCAGGACCTTAACCAAACATACCAATCAATCCTAAAATATCATACGAACTTAGTCAAAACCCTCAAATCACATCGAACAATGCTAAAACCACGAATCACCAATCCAAACTTAATGAACTTGAAATTTAAAAATTCTACAATCGATACCGAAACCAACCAAACCACGTCCGATTGATTCTAAATTTTGTACACAAGTCATATTCAACACTACGAACCTATTTCAACTTTTGGAATTAGATTCCAACCCCGATATCAAAATTTCCACTATCGGCCCGATGTTCCAAAAATTTAACTTTCGCCATTTTAAGCCTTAATAAGCTACGGACCTCCAAAACACAATCCGGACACGCCCCTAAGCCCAAAATCAACCAACGGAGCTAATGGAATCGACGGAATTCTATTCTGGAGCCGTCTTCATACTGCTCCGACTACGGTCCGAATTCTATGACTTAAACTCTCATTTAGGGACTAAATATCCCAAAACACTGCGAAACTCAAGATGAACCATCCTGGCAAACCACAATAGCAGGAAAAGACACAGGGAAAGCAATTAATAGGGTATCGGGGCGTTAATTCTCAAAATGACCGGCCGAGCCGTTACAATTTGGCACATTTGCTCCATCAACAACTCATCCTTCAGCATTTTTAATAACATTATAAATGACTTATTGCTCAACGACCCATACTTTTTATGTGAAGCAGTTTAATCAAACTGGAAAGCTTTGAAATTTTCGAATTTTGGTGTAGTGGCTTTTCGAAATCTTTTAACAGGCTGTAAAACCTTTTGGCTTCAACATTCAGTTCCTCAAGTAAATCATTATAATTAACGTCTATAGTACCTCCATCATGATTAGGATATAAATTCCTCAGCATTTCATGTATTTCATCCTCATCCACGTAATCTTCTACTTTATTATCATCTTCAACTTCGCATTCCGACTGTGGCTCACCCAAAACTTCACCGTGATGATACCAAAAGGTATAATTTCGAATTATTCCATATACTTTTAAATGTATATCGACTGTCACATATTCCTAATAGTGTTATAACATTTGACACACGGATAACATATTTCATAAAATTCTCCTGTTCTTCTAAAGGTATAATCCAAAAACTTTTGCACCCCAATTAAATAGGATTCATCAAGTCGGTTATCAACAAGTTGCATCCATTGCTTACTTGGTGTCATAACCTTGAAAGTAAATTAAAAAAAAAGATTTAAATAATTAAGATAACAAAAGTATTAAGATGCACATTACTTAAAAAAAGTACTAAGACGCACATTACTTGTTATCAAACTTGTTACACTCATCTTTATGACTAAACTTCCTACGATTTCACAAGAATGAAATAAACTACAAGTTGATATGCATAACATATAATACACAATTGCTTAAGAAAATGTGAAATTAAAACACATAAGACACTTCATAGCTAAATCACTGAGTTTCTGTCTTAAATGCTAGATGTATAGAAAGCTTGCATTTCAGCAAGGATAAGCTAGTTCGTACAACTAGAAGGCCAAAGATATGTGATTTTTATTTTAATAGATTGGTGCATACTTGTTACTTCAGGTGCTTGAAACTTAAGAAAAGAATAAGCAGAAAAATTTCCATAGTATTCTATTGGTTCAGAGTGATGCAGTGGCATAAGTTGAGGTTCATGCTCTTATGGGCTCTGTAAGTTAAGTGAAAACTTAAAATGGTCTTCTGTGTAGATTCAAACATCATATGTCATTGAAAAACTGATGCTACCACACTGATGTAGACCGCTTATAAACTGGAGTAATTTTCTAGTTAAACGATCTTTTCATCTAACAACCATTGCAGCCTTCCACACTTAACGAGTATTAAACAATTACTAGCATATAATGGAAGTTTTAAAATGGTGATTCATGGTCTATTTGCAATATCGTCTAAGAATCCTTTGTATTGCATCATCAGTTGTTGACTTAGCTTGATGAGTGGGTCTAGTGTATGTTTTCTGCTTTGTAAAGCTTTGCAAGAATCTAAGATACAACAGCTTATTAAAGGCATCCTCTGCAATAAATCTAGAAATAGATAGCTGATTATTGAAATCATTATATGTCAAATGGTACTGTTTAACTAAAGCCAACAAAGATAGCAGACTGTAACTTATCACAACTTAATGTAAACAAAAACAACTACTACCCTTCGTCACAACCAAATTAGGATCGACTATTTATATCCTCACTATCCATCTCATGCCATTTAAGACCGTATCAGTCCAAAATGATCACAACTTAATATACCACCCATAGATCTATTATTACAAGAGGCTCGAATATGTATTAATTCCGGAATTGTGTAATGCAAATCGCAAAGGAGAAAACTATCGCAGAGACGAAACTCTAGAAGAAAACTCAAATTTCTCCTCCTTGACCTATGAGCCCCATCTTTAAACCAATACTCTCAGTTTTATCGCTCACACAATAACTATCAGTACTCTAAACAACCAAATTGCAAAAAACAACTAAAGAAACAGAAAATTGCAGAACCCGATTTACGATTTCTGGTTCAATAAAAAAAATGCAAGATGAAAAAAAATGAAAACGAAGCAGATAAAAGAGAAAGAAATTAAACTTACTCTTGATAGGCAGATAATCCAATAGTAGAGTTTGTGTAAAGTCCCTTGGAGAGAGATCAAAATTTTGACGCCAAAGTTCGGAGTGATGAATTTTGCAAGCTTCTGAATTCTGACAGATGAATTTTGCAACCTTTGTGAACTTAGAAAAGAATTGAAGTTGCTGCATAATTAGGGATTGTAGCATGAAAGTAATATTTTTGGAGAGATTTTAGGATGAAAGTGAATGTCTAGCGAGATTTCACAGTGAATATATTTTAGGAGGGTTTTATTTGCTTTACTTTCAGATTTCCGCCCCTATCCCGCTAAAATCGAGTATTAGAGATCAGATATTAAATTTTATATAGACCAGAATAAGTCTGCTAGTGTATTTAGTAAAACAAATTGGGTATTAGAGATCAAAAAAATCTCATCCCTATAAGTACACTTTTAGGGACCATATAAAAAAATTGTCGCTAAATACTGGTCCCTAATAAGCCTTTTTCTTGTAATGCTTGCAACAAATCTCACTTCTCACACAATAGAATTGTTGAAGAGGATAGAGCCAAGGGCCCACAACAACCTTATTCAAGATTGAAAATCACTAATGGTTCAACTAAACAACTTGATGATTGCTCAAATCAACACAAGAGTCTAAAGGTCACTAATTAAAGCTATTTCTTGCTAATAACTTATTTTTAACCTTAAGGCCGTAGTTAAATGTGTTGGTACCAAGCGAAGCATGCTTGACATTTTTTATTCATTAATACTACTGTTTTTACCTAAACATCAAAAACGGCCTCAATCCCATAAGAAGGTTATCACGCCATCCATCGTTGGGAAGAGCTATCCGGTTCACACAAAACTCACCTTTGGAACGAACCATGGCATTAAGAAAACCAAAGGCTTATTGCTCATTTAAACATAAAAAAGAAGCTATTAAAGTAAATAAGAAGTTATACTACTAAGAAAAACAAATTAAATAAGCTATGAAATAAACTACTGAAAGTAAGACAAATATATATACAAACTGAGGGGAATAGAATATATATACATCAAAAGAGAGGGAGGAATATATACATAATGAAAGAGATAATAAAGATAAAAAAAGTATCAAAGTTATTACAAGCCAATGTCATATCACATCAATCAAAATAGACCCGGGTTGGTGAGTATTCCCGCCTGTCACGCGGGTGGCCCAGGTTCGATCCCTGGCAGCAACACCAAAAATTGATGTCGCCCAAATTCACACCACTAATTGGATTGTAAAGCGGTCGAAGTAATTTTAATTACCCAAAGTGAGACGGAGTCGATTCTACAGAGAGCTTAGATTGGATTAGGTATATATCTAGACTAAATGTATGATGTGCCCAAAATGCACTTCCACATGTTTGATTGTTTCTTTCTACTTCTAATGATTATGCTAATGTTTGCAAATGAAAAACTAGAGAACGATATTTTTGGTGTTGTTATTTTTCAAGTTTATAAAAGATCTAGGGTCGTGACTTCCACCTAGGTGGTTACTAATCGATACCAACCCTACACCACTACAAAGTAACAAGAGCGGTTGAAGCAGCTTTTACCCGAGATGGTCGGGATCGAATCCACAAGGAGCTAGAATTGGGATTTGGATTCCTATCTAAACTAGCAGTGCGTAGTGCTCTTAATTACACTTCCAATCATAATTTTTATTTGTTACTTCTAATTTTATGCTAATAAGATGCTAAATTAAATTAAGAGTAAATGCTTGTAAGGTTTTCTAAATGGATAACTAGGCACTAGGGAAGTGACTTTCTCCTAGGTGAATACTTGACGAGATCTAAAACCTAAGGCAAAGATGTTATGTTGGGGATTGCGATATAGCCAATGCACGGAATTACTCACTCTATACCTCTCGGTAGCTTGAGTGACTTTGCCCTAATTGACTTTCCCCAGACCAATTGGGTGTCCAAATTATGCAAGCAATATAGGCTCAAGTTGGTATTACTATCTCTAGTTTTAACCCTTTAATTGAGGCTATCAATCTCTTGATTACACCCCAATTTCTTGTTGGACTGATTTTCCTAGACTCAAGCTCTCTTTCTGAAGAAGAACCCAAGTCAAATAGGCACAAATTAGTGTTTTCAACCACTAAATCAATATGGAAAATACAAATCAGTCCAAATATCAAACACTCATAAACATCTAAGCTTTAAAACAAAAGACCCATCAAATACCCACACTAGGGTTGAGCCACAACCCTAGCTAATGGGTCTAGCTACTCATAATAATGGAAGAAAACAGATAAATAGATGAAGAATGACCCATATAATTGATTACAAACTAAGAAATTGAAGATTCAGTGTTAAACTAGCTATAGATTACTCAAAATGGAACAAAACCATCGTTCACGTGCTCTGGATTCTAACTGATGACCTAAAAATGTGAAAAGAAAGTATTTATACAAGGCCAAATATTTTGGACAAAAATACCCCTGACGGAGGTATTGCGGACTGCGGAAAATGCACCGCTGCCGCGATGAGGCTTTTTGGCTTGACTTTTCACTCTCTGAATCTGGCCGCCGCGGACCGCATAAAATGCTCTGCGGCCGCAGTGGTTTCACTGCGGTCCGCACAAAATGCTCCGCGGACCGCGCTGGCTTCAATCGTCCAAACTCCCAACTCTCCGAATCCCCTCTCCGCGGACCGCATAAAATGGATTGCGGCCGCGAGAAATCCTCCACGGACCGCACTGCTTTAAGCTCTAAACTTGCACCTCTCTGAACTTCTCCACCGCGGACCGCACTAAATGGTCCGTGGCCGCAGTGGGTCTGTTGCGGCTGCAATGCATTTTATGCTGCAGCAGTGCCTTGACTTGTTCTTGATACTTGTGCATGTTTCACTCCTTTTTGAGTTGGTTTTGACTACTTGTCACTTTTTTAACCAAACCCTACAAACAAGTATAATATGTAAGCCTTTGGGACTATTTGTATACATTTTTAATCCAAAACTCAAGTGAAAAAGGAGTGTAAAATAAACTAGAATCCCTAGTTATCAGTTACCTAATGGATTGTAGGCTCTAGGGCAAGTTTGATTGGTTGGGGTGTAATATAACAATCACATGCAATTACCTACTCGACGCCTCTCGGTAGTTAGAGTGGTTTTCCCCAATTTGGCTTTCTCAAGTCCAAATTTGTAATTCACCAAACAAGTGAAAAATGCTCAAGTCGAGTCTTACTATCTCTAGAGTCAACCCTCTAATTGGGGCTATCAATTTCTTGAGTTCATCCCAATTCTATGTTAGCCAAGTTTTCTGTCACGACCCTAAACCCGGACCCGGTCGTGATGGCGCCTCTCGTGAAGACAAGGCTAATCGACACTACCTATTTCAGTATTTAACAGTTAAGCATTTAAGAACTAGTCTAAATCATAATCAAATAAACCAAGGTTTAAGTAGCTAATAGCATAATTCGCGGAAAATAACCCAACACAGTCCGATACCGGGGTGTCACTAGTCATGAGCATCTAAAAACACGGAATACTCCAAATCAACTACAGAGTTTAATATAGAAAACTAAGAATAGGAAGGAATAAGATAGGGAAGAGCTCCGGGTTGCGAATGTCAACAGCTACCTAGAGACTCCTTGGATCCGCCTGAGCCGGAAATGATCAGCACTCGAGAGCGGGACCAGATACGCCTGAATCTGCACACAGGGTGTAAGGAGTAAAGTGAGTACTCCAACTGAGTGAGTAATAATCATAAATAAAGACTGAAAGCAGAAAATCATGTAAGACACAAAGGATGCTATAATGAAGCAGTAAAACCATTAAAAACAGTAAACTAGTGAAAGATAGGTAAAAATCCTTTAACTCAAATTTAACTTCATGAAAAGCCTTTTTCAACAATTAAGCAGGTAATGGACAGTCAATTATGAAAAATAAACACATCAAGGTTCGCCCCTTGGGCACAGTATCAATAAATCCGCCCATCGGGCAACATCTCAGAACCATACTAGCCCCTCGGGCTCAATCTCACATCACAATGGGTACCCGCGCTCACTGGGGGTGTGCAGACTCCTAGAGGGGCTCTTTACGGCCCAAGCGCTATATCAAGCCATCTCGTGGCATCATCACTATGCTCTCGACCTCATATCAATCAAGCCACCTCGTGGTGTACATATCTCAGGCCCTCGGCCTCATAATCAATATCAAATGTTTCCTCACAACATAGGCCCTCGGCCTTACTCAGTCAAAACCCTCACAAGCAACTTGGGCAATAGTAAAACACGATTCTCAACCCAAAATATCATTTAAAATATCATTTAAGTGTTAAAACATAGTAAACATGGCTGAGTATGAAAACAGTGAAATATATCACGACTGAGTTCAAGTATAAAGTCAAAACAGTGAGGAAATATCAATAAAAGTCCCCTAAGGGTTCAAATAGTTAGCACGAAGCCCAAATATAGCATTCAGCCCAGATAATGATGATAGCAAATAGATTTCAGTCAAATACGCGGTAAAATAGTCATTTGGGATGGACTAAGTCACAATCCCCAATAGTGCACGACCCTACGCTCGTTATCTAGCATGTGCGTCACTTCAATATAGCACAACGATGTGCAATCCGGGGTCTCATACCCTTAGAACATCATTTACAATTATTACTCACCTCGAACCGGTCAAATCTCTAACTCGCGATGCCTTTGCCCCTCGAATCGGCCTCCACCCGCGTCGAATCTATCCAAAATCAGAACGAGAACGTTAAAATATTCTAAGGAAATGAAGCCCAAGTGAAAATCATCAAAATACGACACAAATTCCGAAATTACCAAAACCCGACCCTTTGACCCACGTCTCGGAATTCAATAATTTTTACATCAATAGGTTCCTTATCTCCCCACGAGTTCATACATATCAAAAGTTCTGACATCCGACCTCAAATGGTCCTTCAAATCCTCAATCAAAGGTCTAAGTTCCCAAGCCCTAGTTTCCCCAATTTTAGCCATTAAATTCCATTAATCATAGATCTAATTCGTGAAATAATAGCATAGGAACGGGTTTTAGGTCCAAATTTCTTACCTCAATGAAGTTCCCTTGAAATCCGTCTTCAAAATCGTCCAAAAAGCTCCCAAGCCAAATTAGAAATGGTGAAAATAGCTCAAAATCGCGAATTCCACAATTTATACCTTCTGCCCAGGCATTTTCGCATCTGCGGCCCTATTTACCGCTTCTGCGGTGCCGCATTTGCGGTTCTTCATCCGCTTCTGCGAAAATCACTTAACTCCACATTGTCCGCATCTGCGGTCCCATACCCGCATCTGCAACTTCGTAGATGCGGTCCTCCTAACCGCTTCTGCGGTCCCTGTTCTTCAAGCCCTTTTCACTTCTGCGACCAATCGCCCGCACAT